ATAATATTCCAAATAAAACATCTTGGAGGGAAAGATGAACCTGCTGATTTGAGATTTGGTGCCAGTAACCTTGAAACTCACTCCAGAATCGTTTAACAATGGAGCAATGATAAAGTAGGTGGTATAAAGTTTCCGGTTCTGCCTTGCAAAATGAATATAGATCGTCTGTTTTAAAGCCTATTTTGTGTAATTTTGAATTAGTGTACAGAATAGAGTTGAGCACTTTGAATTGAAATCCTTTCACATAAGACTCAAGAACAACAGAGTGTGGTAGACTGAAGATTTGTCTCAGCTGATCGATAGAAAAGTTAAAATCGTTCAGCGTGCAGCATGATTGGTACCCCCTCACCCCCCTTTTGCCACCCTCATAAAAATAAAAACGCCCCCAAAAATTAAGCGTATGCTTACCATAATAATTAGTTTATGGTGTAATGGCTCATATACGATGATGGCTAAGCCGGTGAAAACTCTTGAATTGCATTATCCAACGATCCAGTTTTTAATAATAGAAAAATCCTCAAAATGCGCGTAGTTAGTTACACCCTGCGTGTATACGCGCGCGTAAATTGCGGGCAGTATGCAAGCAATATAGCGTCAATAAATCGCGCAGGTTACACTTCACTGCGGCCTGTACAGTAAGCTTAGGCCAATACTTAAGTTTGAACAAAATAAAAACTTCACCGTAACGAGTAACTTATTGATAAAGAACCAAATTCAACCACTGAGATAAAAACTTATAGGTCTACTCGTTCATTCCCTTGGAAGGCCGAAAGGAAAGTTTAAAGCCTTCCCGCCAACGACTTGGATCCCTGAATTCCCCTTAATATATCTGCATACACGTAAACTCACCTAGCGTGTTCTCTTTTGTAGCCAGAATGCATTTCCTGCAGCTTAAAATCGCTCAAACCTGCAAAAGAACCTTCCCCACAGCGACTCTTTCTAGCGGCAAAACACACGTGCATACTATTTCATTCCCAGTCCCCAAGAAGGAATCTCAAAGACCAAAAGACCTCATGACCTCATGGGTCCTCACGGGTCCTCACGGGATGACGGGAAGGGGAACTGAACGACGTCTTTACTCCTGTTTTGGGCAAAGCAACATATATATATCTGCCTCATTTTTTCGAGATTGATGACCAGAAAGTCCGAGATTGATGACCATATCCGAAGACGGATATTTCCGAGGACGTTTCGAAGAAATCCCAAGGCGTGTCGAACATACAATGTTCGTACAGCTAATATAGACTTCTCAAACGGACACCAGCAAAAAACCTCTGATATACCCTGCTATACTGGTCTCTCTTCTTGACGATCATTGTCTCGCTGATTTTTTTTTTTCCTTTTTTTTTCTCGCTGATGCAATGAATAAAAATATTTCGTATATTGAGTGACATACAGTTATGTATTTAAACATCGTGAAAAAGGCCAACTTTTCAGCCCGGATTTGCTGACCCTTGTTCACTAGAACTAATAAGTTGCCATCAATCAGATGTTTCTGCGAATCAAGGGAGTGTTGTCGAATTACCTAGAATTTTTCATGGATAAAAATCATCATTCGATGCATTTTTCCTCCCCTTTTCTTGGCCGAGTGCTCTACGTGACCTGCAAATTTACTGCCTACAGATAATGGTCTGCTCTTGTGTAATACGGTCTAAATGCGTTTTACTGCGATTAATGTTCTGTTCATGTGTAATTGTTACCACGCTCTTGTGTGGAAAGTGGCGGATCGCTTCCCTGGGCTGCCAGAGAGTGATTTATATATGAACAGAAAATTAGTGATCAAATGATAAAACAATTATTGAACTCGGTTATCACAAAATATCGTTATTTGTCAGTGTCTTGTAGATCATAATCAATCTGCTCGTTACTGACATATCACGATATTTTGCTAAACCTGGTCCAATAATTATTAATTATTCTACTCCAAACACACGGCAGTTACCCAACCAAACGATGTCTATAGACTAATATTTACCTGAAGGCATCTTTGCTATAAAACAATTAAAAAAAAAAGGTTAAAGGAAACCGTATTATTCATTGCTTTGCTCATAGCGTGTTTTACAGTGATAGCAATATTTCTGCTAGCGCTTTTTTCGTGTTTGAACAAACCAAAGTCTTTCAGAAGATTACTTTTTTCTTGCGCATGAGGAAAACTATCATTCCCAGAATCGCTCTGCATGTCACAATCATTCATTTGATTGATTACAGCTATGAAGAATACCATGCACAAATGCTATGCACGACGCCGAGTGTATGGCATATTGAACAGCCTATAGTTGGCCTGCAAAAAAAGCGGAATGTTCTCAGTTTAAATTAGTGTAGCCTGCAGAACAGGCGGATTTGTGGCCCCGGGGCAGAACGCGAAACGCGAAACAAGAGCGCGGAGCGCGAACATGAGCGCACTGGTGAGACTAAATCGTTTAACGTAATTGTCAATCAATAAACGAAATATACAGTTCAACAAACGGCCACCCTCGGGGAAATGGATAGTGGCCGCTTAGTAGTGGCAAAAACAATTTAAAAGCCCCCATCGGAACTGATTACTGGCCGCCTAATGGGGGTGGCCGTTTTATAGGTTCGACTGTATTTCTAAAACGTTAAGGGCCTTCAAATAGCGGTTCCATTGACGTTCTCACAGCCCTCACTCCTCCTTGCTGCGGACCAAAGAAGCAACTGCGGTATTTGTGCAGTTAGTTTTTTTTTTTTTACAGTTTTTATATAGTACAGTACATATATGTATCTGAAATGACATTGCAGGGGATTTAACTTATTTTCATTGCCCATTTGAGCTTGTTTTACTTGACTTATAAATTCTAAGTTTTAAATGAATTCTTTAAAAAAGAACCTGATTCAAATTTCAGGCTAAAACTTGTCCTTGTGGAAAGGGGGTCTAAATGGAAACATTAGCCTGACGGGCTCCTAAAAATAAGGTTCTTATAGGCGGATTTTCACCGAAGCCCTAAAAAAATCATATTGTTAATTTTATTTTCAAGGGATAATTTGAGGCGACTATATATTGTGCTATTAAAACCTTAAGTTTGCGTGTTGTTTTGAAGTACATAATATGGTGTAACCCGCGTGCAGGTGTCCTTTGAAACATAGCCTGCGAACAGGCTCCCGGTGAAGCCATCCCCTTTTTTTTTTCGTTTATTGTCGAATGCGTTTTCTGATTTTGGGTCGATCGGTCGGAAAAGGAAAAAACAAACAAACATAAAATTGGAAAAGGAGTCTGGAACCAGGAGGCCCGGTACCTGAGCATAACATCCGTGAAGCCTGAAAACAACAAGGTGTGGTTACAAAGTCAACATCGCGGCAATGAAGGAAGGAAAAAGTCGACGTCGTTGTTAAAATCAAACGAGAACAGGAAAAAACTAAAAATCTGTAAGGCAAAAAATTGCTTATGTTTCAGATTAAAGTGACAATTGTTTGAAATAATGTGTCATTGCCTTCATTGCCTTCTGCGTAACTTTTTTTTTTTTTTTTTGAAAAGGCGAAAATCTGGGTCGGTCGGACGACGCTAAACAGAGCAAAAAAGGGGATGGCCTGAGGACGGAAAAAACTTTCGGCGATCGTGAAACAGAAGAATTCGGAGGCTGTTCGCAGGCTATTGAAACAAGGCACTGCACGAAGGCTAGGTATAATGTAATAGAAGAGACGTGAAGTACTTCAAAGATCTTCAAAATATTTCGCAAGATCTAGGCTTGCTGCACGTGATGAAAATATTAAGAAGTTACTCGACGTTCCCTGGGTTACAGTCGTGTACATGCAATAGAGAAATTTAGAAAACCACAAAGGCAACGTCGCTAAACAAAAGGTAGTGCATGCACTTGCGTTATAATTCTTGGTACATTTTGTTACCGTCCTCTGCAAAACAACAACGTGAAATGATCAAATTCTACGTTGTCTGGAGAACGTGAGCCTGGACAGATTTCGAATTTTACGCTGTGTTCCATATTCAGTTTCGAGATTGACAAAGAGAAACAAACTAAATGATCGCGAGATTCGTAGGTAAAATATTTAAATCATTTTTTAATCGACGTCGTCCTTGGCGTTTCCTCGTAGTTACTTAAACTCCTTAATTAACATTTTCATTGGGAAAAATTCAAGGCCGCAGTAATACTCTCATCAGAGTCGGTGGGGCAAGACAATAAAGGCAAGAGAAGCTAGAGATGCGTGGAAATGCCATTTTCAACCTTCTTCATGCAGAGATATTCCCTTAAGTAAATAAATTATGTTTAGGAACAAAATCATTAAATGGCACGTTGTTATTGCTTGCAACATTATCTATGTATACTTTTCACTGAGCCGTGTGAAAATTGAAGGTGATTCCGTTTTTCGTTATCTTCCTGCACGCTCCCCTCCCCTTTCGTGTCACGAATGAAGCTAATTGCTTCAAAGCTAGCCACTCTTGGTCTTTCTAAACGTAAATAGGACAATGTCTGAGCCCTGTTTACGAAATCATTGCGCCTGAAGAGCTTCTGGTTGTTGCTTCAGTTACATGACAAAAAAAATTACAACCATAAGAGAATCAGGTTTCTTTACAGCGTTTAAATTTCTGCTGACACTCACAATTCACTAGCGCGAGCAAGTTGTCTTCATATATCAATAGAAACCGTTTACCACAATACTCCCACCTTCAAAATTTCGTGGTCTAATGACAAATGTTTCGTGGGGAATATTTTACCCTAAAAGTACGTTCTGTTATTTCATTCTAAGAAAAAAGCGTCGTCAAAAAGCCTTTAGAACTAAGAACCTCAGCTCAAACTCTATTCTCAGTCAAGCAATGTGACATCTGTTACAAGGGGAAATAATGAATGTGTTAACTGAATTAACACAACTAATGCAATGTTGTTTGCACTATACAAGAGAAACGGGACAGCCAAAGAAAAGTAAAACACTTCCATTGAGTTGAAGTACGTCCCACTAATTACAAGGCTAATGTGTAGCACATAATAAATGACCACATTCACAATATTCCTTGAAAAGTGATAGGTTTTTAATCAACTTTTGGCACTAAATTATTCACAAATATATTCTTTGCACGTACCCCATGAAAAACATTTCCTTTTAATTATTTTTATTCAAGTACAAGCTGTCTTTCTATGCTGACAATTCTAAATATACATAAATTCAATAAATTGTCACTCAGTTGGGGAGCCAATTTTGCTTGAATTTCCGGTCGAACTGTTTTTCTTTTTCTCCTTTTTCAGAAAACACTGAAATTTGATATCAAACGATATCAAATTTCTGAAACCTTTTTACAACAGCTGCTACGACTTGCGAGGGTTTATGTCTGAAATAAATTGCTATAATTCCCAAACTTGTGAAAAAAAAAAACAACAACAACAACAACAAAAATCGAAGCCAACGACATTAACAGGAAACTGTTGAGACTGTCAAGGATAAAAAATTCATTTATAGACATTTCATAACATAACCATATGGCTATTTTTCTATAAAATATGATTCGTCATTTGGAATGAGTAGAAGAAATTGTTTATTTTCTGATAAGCTAGCCCTCTCTTTATCGGTGACATGACGTCAAGGGAAAATGGGTTTTTGAATCCTTTTTTCCGCTTTTAAGTTCTAAAGACACACGCGCGTGTATTCAGTGTGAGCCAAGTCAATTTGCGACACCAACGTCAATCGCTAAAATTTCTCATTAGCTATCGGCAAGGATGAAGCGAATTTAATACAGTTGGCAGAATATCCTCGAAATACAAGTGGATTTTAAAGCGATGATACAAGGAAATGAATCAAACAGGCTACAGCTCAGGCAGAACGCCTCTTCCAATACAAGTCTTGAGCTGTGCGGTCTGCCTCCTACCTCCAAGCACCTTGCTCTTTCTGTCACTCTTATCGTCATATGTATCGTAACATTCTGCGGCAACTTGGCGGTGTGCGCCACCGTGTACTTCCACCGTGCTTTACGCACCACAACAAATTATCTCATTGCGTCGCTGGCCTTCGCTGATTTATTGGTGTCCCTGTTTTCCATGCCGTTCAGGATTCACCGCACTCTTCACAACGGCCACTGGTGCCTTGACTTGAAAGCTTGCGCGCTGTGGGTCTGGATAGACTTGGTGGCTTGTAGCGCATCCGTCGGTAGCTTAGCAGCTGTGTCGATCGAGAGATTTGTTGCCGTGAAATACCCTCTGCGCTACCCAGTGCTCATGACGCGAAGCACCGGCTTGAAGATGATAGGTTTCGTCTGGTTGTACTCGACGATCTGCGCTTCCCTCGGCAACTACAACTGGACCTTTAACAGAGCCGAGACGTTCGCAGGTTGCGCAAAGAACGATCCATTATTTTATACGGTTGTGGCGAGTTTGGTGTTTTTCTTGCCGGTGGGAATTGTCATGACAGCGTATACTTACCTCACCAAGATTGCTTTTCTACAGCGCAGGCGGACTTTAAAAACCAACAGTGTTCGGCCAACAACAAACCCGGATCACAACCGCAAGTCGCTCCGTCGATCTCGCGTCCTGCACGAGCTGAAGGCAGCGAAGATGATGGCTTGTGTTGTTGGAATATTCTGCATCAGCTGGGTTCCTTTCTTTATCCTAGTGCTTTTAAGTTTTTGGCATGACCTTCAGAACATGCCTCGCGGCGTTCGCGACATCTTTGTAGATATTCTACCCAATCTAAACAGCGCAGTGAACCCTTTTCTGTACATAGCGTTTACACGCGAACTAAGAGAGCAAGTCGGCAAGATGGTTAAAAAATTGTTTTTCAAACCGTGCTGTAAGAACTCCAGAGTAGCCGGTGAAACATCGTGGCAAACTCGGTCGATGACCGTCGGGGAAACTGACTTAAGGCAAAGTATTAGAAACCACGAACTCCACAATTAAAGCAGTGAAAAATAACATTTCAAACTGCCGGCAGTCTTAAGGAGACACTGAAAGGTGATAAAAAACTCGGTAAATAAAAAATACAACTGAATATCCACTTTCACGGTCTGTGTGTTGTTGAACCAATTTAGAAACTACTGTACGTATTTGTATTATATGAAACATCGTGGCAGACTCGGTCGATTACCCTCGGGGAAACCGATATACTCTAAAGAATCAAAAACCAGCAAGACCATCACAATTAAGTAACAATGAAAGAAAACGACTCAAAATGCCGCCGAGCAGTCTTAAAGAGACCATAAAAGGTGATGAAAAGCTCGATAAACTAAAAAATACAACTGAATATCATGTACACTTCCGTAGTTTGCTGTGTTGTTGAATCAATGTACAGACTATACCCGTAAAATATGTACAGCTGTAAAAGCAAACTGATCCGAGCTTGTGACTTTGAATAAAGATCATTTACATTTCTTTAAATGCTAGTTTTTGAGAACTTGGTGATACGACAAGACCTGAATCGTCTTCTTTATGTTCCTTAGCTAGCTGTCGGAGAAAAATAAATTCTAACCGTCTACGAAGATTCACACTGAGTTAGAATCTTCCACAAGTATTATGCAAACGCCAGATGTTTTTAAAAGGTGAATTTTGTATATTAAAAAAAAAGAAAAAAAAGTTTGCCACAACATGGGTTAATTTGCCTCCACTATCAAAATATCTTTGAAAAATCTTTTTCCCACAGCGAAAGACACTATGTTCTAGTTGTCGGTCATTTTATTCTAAGCAATCATCACCTTTTCGAAGTAAAAAAAATATACTTTTGGTACAACTATAAAATTTGACAATGTTCGCAGTGAGTTTTAACTCGACAAAATTTTGAAGATTAACTTAATTGGCAGTGCCTCTTTCATTAGCTTATTTCGCTTTAAGTAAAGTGAACTTACACCCCCGCAAAGTCATCATTTTTATTTTTATTATCTTTTTGGTAATTATAAGAGGAAGAGCTGGCACGGAGACTGATTTTAAATTGCATATCTATTCAGAAAAGTCCACAATTTATTTAAGTTGCTTTTTAATCACTCGAAAAGTTTTAAAACCGTCAGCTGGTTCAACAATGAAAACAAATTACACACAAAAAGAATCCTTGTATCTTTTTGTGATTGTTTTCATTTCTCCATATGATATGTCACTCAAATAGAAGTTCACTCTTGCAAGCTACAAAATACGGAATTTTCCAAAATTCAAAATCGAATAGATCTCAATACAGTGAGGTGAAATAAAGCTCGTACGGAAATAATAAGCTACAAAAAAATTACAAATGAAAGACACTCAGAGTGACTAAGATCGAAGAAAATATTGAGATGACTTACAGAAAGCGTCGTTTCAGATATTTCCGGACAGAAGGAAATTACATGCGAGTACGTGCAAGTCATAAACAGTAAAAACTGCCGCGTGATATTTTTAGAAACGTTGTTCTCATTATAGAACTAAAATATCATCATTTTTTCGCTTCACGACCCACGCTCAAGCTCATAAACGTGATGTATTTTACTTGTCTCTATCAAGGCCTGTGAAATAGCAGGCAAATATTCATTTGCGTTCGCTTGAGCTTAAGGTCAAATGATACGTTTTTTAGTATTTCTTCCCCTTTATTGCTTAGGGGTGAAAATAAAATAAAGTTGAAATCTTGATCGAATCTTAGATAGGTGAATAGAAGAAACTACTCTTATAAAGCTCGTTTTTTTGTACGCATTAAAATTATTACACTGCTTATTCGTGAGATGATAGAGCATTATGGGAAAGATTGGACGAGGCCGTGCAGCATCATGGAGTCATCCTTCCCAACATTCCACGCGCCCGTGTAATTAGCTACTACGATTCAAAATATTAATTATAATTGTGAACGAGTCTGGATGATTCCATTGTAACAGAGACAGAATTCTTTAACCGTTTCAATGCAGTTCAAAGTAAACTACCTTTAGTCAGTCGGGCATCAAGATCGATTTAAACTGCACTAAAACATGCCACCTTTTTTTTCCTCAAACCAAGCCTTCGGCTGCAGCCAGGTTAAAAAGAAAGTTTTCCACAACTGGTGTTAGTTTTCGTTGTTTCAATGCTTCTAAAGTGACTCTGACCTTTCCACCTTCCTCCGGCTCAACTGCCAGCTTTTTAAGGTTGTTAATAAGATCCTTTGTCTTGACCGATAATTCCTGAAATTGAAAAAAATAGGGACCAATTGAGTATTATTTCACTTTTCGAAGTGGTTTGATATCAGCGTTTCTTTACAATGCAATTTGTATTCTGCACGCGCTTTGATTGGCTAGGCTGCTATGTTATATTGAATATCAGAGTATACAGCAAAAAAATGCTTTAATGTTTTGCACACGTGAAATCTCTACCATAAAGAATATAAAGAAGTCTAAACAATGTATTATTTAACAAATCGATTCCATGTTGACGTGCGTCTGTTCAGTAATAGATCACTGATGACGTCAAAATGTGGTAAGAACAAAAAAGTGTCACACGAGGCGATAGCCGAGTGTGTCATTGATGTTCTTACCACATTTCGACGAATTCTGTGTAATACGAGAATAATTTGACTTATTATATTAACTGTCATAAAACACTCGGGGAGTCCGAGAACACTTGAGATGAGTAGAGAATACTCGCCTGTGGCTGCTGCTGTCTAAATTTTACCCCAAAATGGTTATTTCTTCTGAAAATAGACGGTCGAGCAAACTGAAATCCGGAGAACATTCTCAGTTTGTAATCTAACTGCATATAACAAGATTACCTTGACGAGCTTTTGATCGTTGTATTCCTCGTTTTTAGCAGCATCTACCATAAACATGGCGATGTCCTTGTGAATTTTTCCCATCTGGAAGGTTTCTACGAAAATAAGAACACAAACATCAGGCACTAGAATTGAGTACTTTATACCGACAATTTAACTGCTTAAAGTCAGTCATGTTTTTACAACGGGCACCTTGGTTGGGAGGAAATATCTGTCTCAGCCTCAAGGAGTTAACCTATTAATGCAAAGAAACCTTCAGAAAACAGCGTTTAAAAATCGTTTGGTAAGCTCTCTTAAGGTAGAAACCACACTACGCCGGAGAAATTTCAAAACATAGCTTTCTTCTGTGGTTTGGATTACCGTCCACACTAATCTGTCACGAAAACGGAGCTTTCCGAAAACGGTCTTCAACCGGAGGAATTTGAAAATGCCGGCTTTTCGTTGTCGTGGGGACGGAAAACGGAGCTTTTCGAAAACGATGTAGTCACGATAATCATGTGAATTCACTGACCGAGTTTTCCTCAAAAACAAGTCCAAAATGACCGGTGATTGTCGCGTTTTTAAAATCTTCCGGCGTATTGTGGACAGAAAACATTTGAATCGCTTTCAGAGTGAAACCTCCGCTTTCAAATTCCTCCGGCGTAGTGTGGACTGGGCCTAGGTGGTTAGAAAAAAGCGTGCCTACATGTCCAGTATAAGGGCCTTACCCAATCAGAGAAAAGATGCTGACTTTTCAACCAATCAGAGGCAAGACCAAAACGAATAGTGACTTGGTTTTCGCGCGTTTCCCGCGCTTGACACTGTCTGCATGTTCTGGCTTCGAGTTCTGTTTAATTCACAGCGTTGTTTGCGTTTCTTCTGATTTCCTGGTCAGATCTGGTTACTTTTGTTTTACTTTTTCGGTAAACCTGTTTCTGGCGCTCGGTCAGTGAAAGAGCGGTGCGAAAACGGCGACAGAAAAACGAAAGTATTCCCCGCGCCGCAATCCTGACTTATTTTTGTCTCTCGACGCTTTAAATCTTCCCCAACTACCAGAAGGCCTGAAACAGTTCTTTTGACATAATAGGTCTAACACGACCTAAATCACGAAGATTCATTTATGAGTATAAATTGTATTTTTTTTTCTTATTTGTTTCTACCTTACTGTGAAACTTTGGAGGTTTGGAAGTTTCCACCTTTTATCTCACCTGGTAATTTTGTAGTTTAGATAAGACTGCCTGTGGTGTAGCGTTCTACAGAAGGAAATGAAAATCTATTTTTTTTTTCACCTACCTCGTGATTCGGGTGCAATTGAAATTTCTCCAGCCGCAACTGCAAGATAAGCTTGTACATCAAATAAGGAAAAGCTGCAAAACATTCAAATATCCACCCCCCGAGTCCCTAATGAAAAGTACATACACCCAACTTCTCAGTCCCTAATGCAAAGTACATAAACCCACCGCTCAATCCCTAATGCAAAGCACATACACCCACCCTCCTCAATCCCTAATACAACGCACATACACCCACCCTCCTCAATCCCTAATGAAAAGCACATACACCCACCCACCTCAGTCCTCAATACAAAGCACATACACTCAACCTCTCAGTCCCCAATGAAAAGCACATACACCCACCCTCCTCAGTCCCTAATGCAAAGCACATACACCCACCCCCTCAGTCCCCAATACAAAGCACATACACTCAACCTCTCAGTCCCCAATGAAAAGCACATACACCCACCCTCCTCAGTCCCTGATGAAAAGCACATACACCTACCCACCTCAGTCCCTAATGAAAAGCACATACACCCACCCTCCTCAGTCNCCCCTCAGTCCCTAATGCAAAGTACATACACCCACCCCCTCAGTCCCTAATGAAAAGCACATACACCCACCCCCTCAGTTCCAAATGCAAAGTACATACACCCACCCCCACAGTCCCTAATACAAAGCACATACCTGCATTCTTATTTAAGCCAATGAATGTTGCCTTGTGTTTACTCAGTTCTGAGTGTTTTGTTTTTTTTTGCCACCAAATCATTAGCAAACCCTACCTTTAACACAATAATTATTTAACAGATGTGAAGGAAACTGAAGAGACTGAAGAGCAATGTATAGCTTGTGGTTCCAGCCTATTATCCCCAAGGGATCATGGCAAAAACTGAAGTGGTTTCACCGGATATCTGATCTAACTTACTCTGTTGGGTGCAGTTGACAGTTATCCAATATATGGCAAATTTACATACTGTAAATCCTTGAATTGCGCCCCCATGCCCCACTGGGGGCAATAAGGATTAATGATGAAATCCTTGAATTAGTACCTGGGCACTTATTTCAAATTTAGGAGAAGACGGGGAGAGGGGAGGGGGCACTTATTTGAGGGGGGTGCTTAATCGAGGGGGGAGGCACTCATTTAATTTTTCCCAAATCGTGGCCTGACATGATCATCTTTTAATACATCATCTGTGCGTAAACAACAACATAAGCTCTTTATCAACATAAAAAGCTGATCTTAAAGTTTAAATCGCAGCACTGTTGGTACTTGTAATTTTTTTTTTCTAAACTTAACGTGTTCACAAACTGCAACTAGAAATTGTAGGAAAAAGCTGGACCAGAGTGATTGAACATGACAAAAACTATACATCCTTTGTCGTCTAATTACTTGTCCACAAAATGGGGGTTGGAGAGGGGGGCGCTTATTCAAGGGGGCACTTATTTTAAATCTTGGCTGATAGGAGGGGCGCTTACCGGTATTCGAAGGGGGCACTTATTTGAGGGGGGCGTAATAATTCGAGGATTTACAGCAACTACTTTTGAAAGATAAGGATACATATATATATGTAAATGAGAAAATTAAAAGTTGTAGATACTCAAACCAAGATTCAACGGGTATTACATAAATGTAAATGGACATAGCCAGGGACTTCCAAACACTTACCATTAACAAACAGGTCATACAGCTCAGTCCTGCTTTCAACTGATGCATCAGTGAAGCCAGCCACGTATGTAATGCTTGTTGTAAGCCTCTCAAGTTCCTCTTCCTCTAGATGTACATAGGGATGGACAATGTTCCAGTTCTGACGATGCCAAACCAATAGAGGTAATGCCCTAAATAAACATCAAAACACATTGCCACTTAGATCCATTATCCATACATTGATGTTTTTACTCAGGTGAGGCAAGTGGCCAGATTTTGTAAGAATTTTCTTTAAATCAAACTTACATATAAATAAAACTCTAACTTGTGTTTTGAAAAGCCCACTGCTTGATTTTGCAAACACCACTTTCATTCCTGCACTGTCCAAATTTATAGGTAAGGTAAGATTAAGTCTACTTTCTAGCCTAGTGGCCCATCAGCGTGGCACTTTTCTTTGGTTTCCATAGGAGACTAGAAATATCTTCCCCACTGTCCCCTCAGATGGGACCATAGGGTTGATGTGGGAGGTGCGGTGGGCTCATGGTTAGTGTGCTCGTTTTGGATCGAGTGGTTCGGGTTCAAACCTGGCAGGGGACATTGTGTTGTGTTCTTGGGCAAGACTTTACTCTCACAGTGCCTCTCTCCACCCAGGTGTGTAAATGGGTACCGAGCAATAAAATGCTGGGGTATTCCTCTGATGGACTTGCAACCCATCCAGGGGAGAATAGAAATGCCCCTAGTTGCTTCATGCTACAGAAACCGGGATAAGTTCTGGCCTGGTGGACCACTTGGCTCCTATGCAGACTTTACCTTTACAGCAGTTCGATGTACTGTACCTATCGTAGGGTTACACCAGCATTGATGAGCCAGTACTTTACCACCAGCACTAGTTTGCTGGTATTCTTACAACTGGGTGGAGAGAGACTCTCAGACTGAGAGTAACAGTGACCCAGGAAATGGCTCAAACAACGTGATCCAGAGTTCAACTTGCACTAACCATTATACCACTGCACCACCACACAGGGAGTCATTAAAACTGTTATTTGCTGAATGATGTAGTATATTATTTAAAGCTGGATCCTTGGATAATTCAATTCAAGAGTTTTCATTGGCTTAGCCATCATGGTAAATGAGCAATAAATTATACCATGCTCTACAAATAAGGTAACTAAGTGTAAGCATAATTTTTGGGGGCATTTTTATCGCTACTTTATTTTAAATTTCAATTATTCCACTTGGGCTTGTTGGATATAAGATGACTATAGCCAACCTGGCATTAATTATACATCTTATTGGCTATCTACCATCTCATAATATCCAAGGCGCAGTCATGGAATAATAATATTGTTAATTGTATACAAACTGTACATATGATTACTTACCTACAAATATCCAAAATAGTTTCAACTTTAGGACTGTACACAGCTACTTTCTTCTTTAGCAGAAGTGCAGTGTATATCAGAATTGTTTCCACTCCAAATATGTTGATCACATCTGTTAACAGCAAAAAACTAAATTCATGAAATTTTAAGAAAGGCTGAATTTACATCAAAATAGGAGATCAACTGGATAATGGAAACTTAGAAGACATGTACACGGACAACACAATTCTCAGGACAGGCTTGGTCCCACCATTTCATTACCTATACACTAAAATACTGTGATATTATCAAATTGATAATATCAATTATTAATATTATCAACTTCCAAGTATTCTTACTCATGAATTACAGGTACGCCTCACATCATACACCCATTGTCAGATCATTAATATTAGCCTGGTCTAGTATGTGTATAAAAATACACTAAATCGAACAAACTAATACAAAATGAGATGAAAAACAATTTAATGACAGTTGCAAGTAAAACTAAATCAACAACTTGCCTGAAATAGGAGAGGCCACATATGACAGACGAGGATCAAAGTCCTTGACTAAAAACAAACCATTATCATCATTAGGGCAAGAGCCTTTGGTAACCACAGATAGGTATGCCTCCAGCATGCCGCTGGCATCCCCTGTTTTGATGAACTTGTTACACATAATCTTGCAGAGACCTTTGTACTTCTCTGGACAAAAATCCTGCCAAGAGAAATCAGATAAAAATACAAAATGAAATATGAATACAAATACAATCCTATGAAACCTCTCTTGAGCGGACACCCTCAGGCCTTTCCCAAGTGTCTGCTTAATAGAGGGTGTCCGCTTAATAAAGGTTTGTAACAATTGAGCAATGCTTGTTGACAATTAACATTTAACGCTTCCTCTGAACTGTAATAAAGTTCCAGGTAGTTAATGAAGCTATCCAGAGTTTAAGTTCATCAGCTTTCATTGGCAACTTTAATTTGTTATAATTCAATGCCCTTTCAATACAGCAACAATAATACGGGTAAATTTAATCGACTATGTCAAGGACGTAATCCAATGCCACATTGTTAATTCAGTCCGCTGTCTGCCTACATGTAATAGAGGTTTTTACAAATTTTATAGAAATTAGCCAAATACAATTTATTCTAGTGTCCTTGTCCGCTTAATAGAGGTGTCCGCTGGATAGGGGTTCATTATAAAGGGAAATATAAGACGTTAATTTCAGGACCAGGATAAGTGTTCACTTAATAGAGGTTTCTCTGTAAATATAATATTATATATTTATTGTTAGTAGTAACATGTAATAAATGAATTCATGACATACCCCCCTTGCAAATGGGGAGCAAACTTCATCATTGATAACTATTTTGAAATTCCAATTTTACATGTGAAATGAAGTACAATGCAAGCATGTGTGCATAACTGATCCATGATCACTAATATAATGTCTGGAACCTTGTTTTTAACAATGGAGTGCAAAACTCTATATGATCATTAAATGGCAGAAATATTCCACTGAAATCAAGGTTATCATGTTCAGAGATTATATATTTACCTTAGTTATCAGTGTCAGAGCAACATGAGTGACCTTGAAAATACAACAACAAATATGATTATAGTTCTAAAATATAAACCAAACATTATGGGGATATGGTGATATTAAATATCAATACTGCACAGTGACAAAAAAGTTTCCTCCTTCACTTAGGTACACACCTAGGGGGGGGGGGGTACTTGATCCATGTATGGGTAAAGGGCTGCCATTGAGGGTTTGAAACCTTGCCCCTGTTTAGGACAAAAATTACTCAAAAACCCTATCCTGTGTATGACTACACCCTCTATTCTAAGACCCTGTTTAGGATGAGAGATGAAAGTCACGAATTCCCTGTGCAACACAGTGACATCTTTCAGTAACTAATCAAAGACAAGAGAGTCCATCCAAAAAAAGAAAGAAAGAAAGAAACAGAGATTTCCACTTTTTAAGTGAAACTTATTCTACCACAATGTCTCACTCATCAGCACTGTCCTGGGTGAATATGTAGCTGCCTCACCAAACACCAGCCTCCTTCTCCCTCCCCTTCCCCCATGTACCTGCGCCCACAGTTTAATACCCGCCGTGCATGGTTTCTCTTCTAATACTTACTCAGATAAGTGTGATCGTTTCGGAACCCACCTTGCTCAATGCATCCGAATTCTTAACCTCTGATGTGTAAATGTAAAACCATTGTTTGTTAAACTGGCCAAAACAAAACGCTATAATTTCGTCTTTATCAGTCTTCAGACAGCACTTCCTCAAGATGACCTGACGGTGCGCTTCATTGATGGTAGGATAAGACCACGTCCAAAGCACTTCGGCATCAACGTCTTTTTCTGCAATCGGTGAAGTACGAGAAACCCAATAAAGGTACTTATTGTCTAATATGAAAAATCCGGTATTTTATGAACTAGAATGAAGAATAAATACCTATTAGACAAGCTGCAACAAGATCCCCAAGTCCGGCCATCTTGCTTGGCGCCAATAGGCGCCCGCAATACACGTCAGCGGTAAATCAAAATAAACAATATGGCGGTCGATTGGCGGCCTTGTTACCTCCATTTTAGTTTGCGTTTGCTGGGTCGTTTGCTGGACGTTTTAGAACGCTAGTTCAGTCGTACATTTTGAAAGAAGATGGAAAAAAGCCGCAAGAGGTCTCGTCATCACTTTGAGAAGGAAGATTCGCCCATCAACGAAAGAGAAAGATGTGTAGTTTGGGAAGACCATCGCTCATCCTTAGACGATCTTTTCTTTCGCGACTGTGATCTGATCAAACGGTTTGTACAAGTTAAAAGGTGTAAAATCAGCATTCAGTATTTCTTTCACCGTAGCCTTATGTCCTCTGAGACATTTGTGTCACTATAACACCTTCTTTTATTCAGGGGAAGTCAAGATTACAAAGACTTCTGGCTCTTTCTTGAGCGTTATGAGGCCTTCAACAAGAAGCACGCGGAAAAGCATCCTAGAGGTGGGATACATTCGTCAGTGTATTAAACCGACGAACTATATTTGTCAAACTAGGTGTTCAGAATGAGGTCTCAACTTTTTAATGGCAGGATGTCACACGATCAAACCTGCCAATCTGTATTTATACCTACATCAAAAGTATATTTTTTAAATTCAAAGCAGGTCAAGAGGTCAGTCAAGGGAAAATTTTTCAAATTGGGAATTTCACTTAAAGATTGCAAAGATATGGAAACAAAATCACAAATAGGACTATATTATGCTCATTTGCCAATTAGGAATGCCATAGCCTGTAAAACCAGTAATTTCCAGGGGACTGGGCTAGTAAATATTCATGCATATGCATTCTTTCTATACTTGTGCATGCCAGGATCTCCATCTGCTTCTCAGGAAAGAAGCCACTGACAGTGACTGCACGTACGAATGTTTGTCAAATTACAGCAGTTTGTGATGTTGTTACATAAGTATGGCTTGCAGGCTGAAAACAGAAAAACGTGCAGAGTGACCATACAGAATAAGTGTGAGGTCTTGCCTGAAGTACACATACAAGAAATTGTATTTTTGTTTTGTTTCTACATTTTTCTTCCAAACAGATAAAGACGGGAAAGAAAAAACGTCTTCCAAACTAGGTCTTCCTTTATCATATGATAGAAGGTATAAGATAAATGTTGCCCTTTTGTCAAAGGATGTAACTGATGTGATGGGGTATGGCACCACTGGAGCAAAGAAAGGTATTAAAATATATCTTTTCTTCTCTTTTTAATATATCTGATTAATTTAATTATCTGAATTAACACATAATTGAATCCTTGCTAACAGACTATAGGTTAGCTCTTGGTTCAGGGTATAATAATATTATTGGCTTGGAGGGATGCAGAATGATAGGGATGCAGGATGACGGAAATGTTTATGGCAGGATGCAAGATAAGAATACTTCGGCAGGAGCAGTATTTGTTCATCTTGACAGGCGGGATGAGGGATAGTTTTAAAATTGATGGTAGGATGTGCGATTAAAAACAGAAAATTATAGTTCACGGACATTTCATGGAAAAACTACCACTCTAACAAGGCATGATCGAGATAAATGTTCAGATAGGATGGAGTGCTAGGACTGAGCCCAACATACATGTAGTTGCGGGATGTGAGATTGTAAAAACCTATATTAGACCCTCTCAGTAATGTGAGACACAACTCTCGAACAGATACTTATTCATGGTTCTGGCTTCAAAAACACGATAATTTTAACCTTCCGTAGCAAAGAACTCTCTTTAAAATAATGGACACTTTTTCTGGTCTTTTTAAACTTGTTGGCTAACAGAAGATTTTGACAACATAATGTAGTGCTCCTCCAAAAAAGCTTTTAGTTTAAATTGTTGATAACATTGTAAGTTGTCTGCACATTGCATTTTTCACTAGAAAAAGTATAAACTCATGATCCTTTCATGGTTTTTCTTTTCCTCAGTTTTTTCCTTCTCTGACAAGAAACATCGAAGACATTCTAGAGAGCTATCAAAGGAAGAGTTTTTAGAATTCAAATCCATCCTTTTGTATTATATTGATTTCTGTCAAAAACAAAAGGTATGTATGATACATTTTTTTAAGGCTGATCATTTTTCAGGCTTTCGGCATCACAAATAATTATTAACAGTTGTATGCTTGGCATAGGGTAGGATACAGTCATGTATCTCATGCCAGTTTCCATGAAAGCATTATGTAACCAAGACTAGGATGTAAAAAACAAACAACAAATTTTGGGGCTTTTGAAAGCTTTAACCACGATGTACCAGCCTGAAAATCATTCTCACTAGGCCCCCAAAAGTTCATCTCTTACATTGTAAATGGTGCTTCAATCTGTGATGTGAATGTCCCTAAAAATTGCCCTAAGAGACTGATGGGCAAGTGATCTACAGAATTCACTAGCGGTGGGTTGTCAGACTGGTCTTTCTTTGCATGCATGCACGTCTATTGATGTCAGTTCGTCTATTGATATTATGCTGTGAAATAAATATGCATCATTTGGACACACATCCTTTAAATGTGTGGTTCCTGCCTAGAACATAGTTTAAGGACACTGGGCAGTGCAATGCACTAACTATTTTAAGGCCACTGCATTTTAAAATTAGATGAGTTAAATCTTATTTTATGTACATGTATGTATATCGCTTACTTGTCTTAACAGTTTTCCAAGTTAGTGAAGTTAAAGAAGGATCAAGCAAACCTTCCCATAAGTCATTTCAGGGAACAGATTGTTGATGCAGTAAGTAACAATCAGGTGGTGATTATTGCTGGAGATACAGGCTGTGGAAAATCAACACAGGTATGGTAACATTCTGCTATTCAACAATTATTATTACATGTATTAGACTACAAGTCCCAGTTTTCTATGAGTGAATGGTCAAGGAGGCGTAGCCAAGATGACTATTGCTCATAGGAAATGAGGGTGAGTATCCTGTTAATTGTTTTTATTGGTAGACACTCTAAAGGATTACAGCACGAAAACCGGCAAATTATTTTTTGTATTTTTAAATCTGAAATTGAAAATAAATTTCCTTTCTAAGAGTAGTGCACAAGTGATTGTTGTCTATCAGCAATTAGTATAAATCTACTTGCATTCCAGGGTTCTCATTAATTTAGAGAGTAGACGGCTTGCTTCATGAAGTAGACGGTTGACACCAATTTTGCGTGCTGAAGGCACGAGCCCCTAGGGGGGTCTGGGGGCATGCTCTCCCAGAAAATTTGGAAATTGAGAGGCTCTGAAATACTATTTCATGCATTCTCTTGGATATATTTCCTCAAAAATAGTAAATTTGGGAAAAGGCCTAAATGCCAAGAATTTTAAGGGATTACAAGGACTTTGTTGATGTTCAACCTTATCCTGCACTGAAATTGAAAACATACACCCCATCCTGACCCTATGACCCCTCTCTAGCTACAGCCTTTACTGTCCTGAGACAAGGACAGTCAAGGTTCAGTGGCATTCCCAAAAATGTGTTTTTCCCTAAATTATGTGTCAGTTATTTTTGTACTGGCATTGCAATGTGTTATGGGCAAATAAAACCTTTTTTTTTTGCCATTTGTGTGTGTGTTGATCTTAGTTTATCTGACTGCATTCCAAAAGAGTTTTCAGACTGTCTGATATCTTAAAATGAAACTACTTTGCAATGGATAGTAAAAGCCCATACAGAACTTACTAACCATTTGATGCCAGTGAACTAGCATTCCTCTTCCACGTCAGATCCAAAGGCTGAGTCAGAGTCACTATCACTATCTAAAGATTTTGATGGAAGATTAGGAGCTTCTAAAGCAACATCAGTGTTATCTCCCTCAGTTCCATCTTGCTCTCCTTCTTCTTCTGCCACTGTACCATTCTGAACAGCCATTGTCTCCTCACACTGCACTCCCATTTCTTTTTTCTCAGATGTCTGGACTCTAACCAGTGATGGCCCTGGGATGGCATTCTTTGGTACCTTTGGTAGTTTTCTTCTTTCCTTTGCTTGAAGCCAAGCACTCGCTGCATCCTTTATGACTGGCAAACACTTCTGGACATCTGGTCCATAAATGCCTACAGCAGGTATTGCTTGTAGCATTTCATTTTGGAGCCTGCTTCTTAGAGGAGTTTTAACATTCTTTACTACAATGGCACCCCTCTCTGGTCAGGCATTACTCACTGGCAAAGTGACCATGACTTCAGCTATGTAAAGAAGTAGAAGGAAGAATGTACCAAAGGAAGATTTGCCCTTAAGTAGATGAAGAAAGAACCATTATGTTGTTGTGGTTCTCTTGACCCAGACTTCACTCTATTGTTATAGTCTTCTTGATGTTATCATTCACATGGTAATTCATATGTGACCACTCTGTTAGAAGCTTCTCTGTTTTCAGCTTTTGAACTTCTTGTGTTTCAATTTGAAAAAAGTGTTTGGCCAAAATGTTAACCTGGGCAGTTCTGTACTCTTGAAAACCATATGCTTCATATTCTGGCACACTAAGTGGATCAAAGATACTGAGGGCACTGATAACATCACAACTGGATGCAAATCTTTCTTCTAAATTCTTTGTTAGGGCTGTCAGATACTTCTGTGAAAGCCCTTGCATTTGTTCAAACATTGAAAGTCGGAGGGAATGTGATATCACAGCCAAGATTTTCAAAGCTGTCCACATTTCCTTTTAACTTCTCTAGTGGAGACTCCTCCTCTACAATTTTGTTCAAATGCTGTTTGGTGGCTTTGACCTGTGGCCAAATAAGGGAAAAATTTACATTGCTTGTTTGAAATGCCAGTGACAGCCTGGAGAGAACAGGTAGAACTTCTGCCAGAATATACAGTGCTCCAATAAACTTTGCATTCTTCATCTTTTTAACAAGGCCTGCTGCTGGCTTAGAAGGAGGTTGTCCCTTTTGATGGCAGACATTTTTATTTATTTTCATTACTCTTTACAACTTAAACACAGATTATTTCATGAAAAGTAGGGGGCTCAGAAGTGGAAGTAGCTGGTTCTTGAGCCAGCGGTCGGCACTTAATGAGAACCCTGCATTCTATCACAAATGCAATTCATTGATTGGCTATGTTACTCACTGTCTATTCTGTTGTTGATACTCAGTAGCTTAGAAGTGTGTGCAGTGTGCTTCTTGGCATTTTCGAAGTGTCTGTGAAGAAGATTTAAGTAAAGTTTTGAACGACTAGTAGATTTATACTAAAACTATTAGATTATTTGCTCTTGATTTCTATGCGTGATAGAAACCTCGAGCTCATAATCTAATTGTTTAATAAGAAATGATGAGTGAACCAATGATTTATCAGATTTGTGGGTTTCCAGTAGAACACAACTGAGTGGCTACTAATAAAAGTTATTTCCTGATATAAACAATAGTGTAACTCTAACTTACACATGTACATAATATGCAGTGACACATATCCTAAATGTCCCCCTACTGGTTGTACAATGCAGTGGTTTGCAAAACTGGTTGATTCTCTTATTTATTGCATTTTATGATACTGAACACATCAACAGAGCAGTGGAAATACAGTAACTCTAAAGTTCTCAGTCTGGTTGAGACAAACAACTTCTATTTAGCAGCTAATGAATTAAAGGTGCAAAATTCTCCTACACCTGTACATGACCACTAAATGAACTGTTCTGTACTTTACCAGTTCCATAATTGCATGTAATGTATGGTCAATGCTGGAGCTTAATACTTCCAATTTTGAGCAAGAATTTGTAGAATTGGAATAAACAAGACAATGTATTACAATGTATTTCTTAGTTACAGTGTAATAGGATCTTTGACAGATCTTTGATTCAGAAGATCCATGATAAATTTTACATCATAGATTTAGATCCCTACAGATACTGCAAGGTTATTACAAAATTGTCATTTAGTGCCAATTTCGATAGCCTTCAGCTGGTTAGTTTAAACTTCTAGGTAAAAAGTTTAAAGTGCTTTTAGATTTTTCTTGTTGGCTAATCACTTTATACTTCTTCTTCCTATGTTACTGTAGGTTCCTCAGTACCTATTACATGCTGGCTTCATACGGATTGCCTGCACTCAACCACGGAGAATTGCTTGTATCTCGTTGGCTAAAAGAGTCGGCTATGAAACTCTGAATGAGTATGGATCTCAAGTAGCTTATCAGGTAAAATGGAAAATATTGGAATTGATCATTGTCTTGTCTGTTAAACATTTCTACATAACTCTGATTTACTTAGTGGTATTTCTTGATAATATCTTGGAGTAATGTCATTCTTATGTGACCTGGAATTTTCACTTCCAAAAGTGTTCATGAAAAGGCTGATGCTTGTGTGTGCATGAACCAACTAGAAGTGCTTGTATCTCTTCTTTCTCAGATGAGATTATAACCCATTACAGACCAAACTGCCAGAGTTATTTTTGTCAGGCTGCCTGAGAATTCTCTTGTAACCATTTAAATGTGGGAGTGGAGAGCGGGTGGAGAGAGTGGAAAATGTAGCATTTTTACAGCTAACTTTTTCAATCACAGATTCGATTTGAAAGCAGCAAAACTCTGGGAACGAGAATTTTGTTCCTGACAGAAGGTATGTTTCCAGTGTCGAATAGCTCTAAGAAATTTCCAGTATGATTGCCTCGTCAAATGCTCTTTCTTTTTCCTTGGTGTTTTATCTTCCCATCACCAATGACCCCCATGACTATGGCACCTATTTTTTATGTCAAACGTTTCCTACAGGCTTGTTGCTGCGCCAATTATCCACCGACCCCACCCTTAGTCAGTACAGTGTCGTCGTGGTAGATGAGGTTCACGAGAGGCATATTCATGGAGATTTTTTACTGGGCGTGTTACGTGGCTTAGTCCAGGCCCGCGCTGATCTCAAACTGGTTCTTATGTCTGCCACTATAAACATCAGGTACTGTAAGAGGGAGGGAGTGGTGGGTGGGGTTACTTTGATTATGTCAAATTACGACTAACTGATATGGAGTGACTATTTTTTAATCACTCTCGCTTTTTATGAACAAAGGTATTAGTTTCTCAAGAAACTGTTGAGCTGCCCTCTCCGACCATTCTCCAAGAAACGTGATTATTTTTGATATTTCTCTCCATCAAGGCAACACTGAAAGTCGTGATAATTTAGAACAGAAATTCATCTTTCAACTCGGCACCGTGCCTCCCCGTTATTTCTTCATTTATCAAATTAATTCATGTATTTTTCTATGGCCATGCTCCCTCCGTGTTTCACTATTGAACACACACACACTAACCACAATCCTCCACTTTGCTCTGACCAAGCGCTAACGCAGGACACGTTGGCTTGACTAACTCGTTATGGCAGTTAATGTACCTTCATCAACATCAAGTTAATAACTAACTACGTGTTTCTCTTTGTTTTAGTCTGTTTGCGAGCTATTTCACAGGTGCGCCAGTGATTCAGGTTTGTGTCTGTCTTTTGACGCGATAGAAAAGTGCTCGTTCGTGATAATCCTGTGCTTGTTGTTACTATCTCCGCTAATTGGTTAAAAAGATGTCCAGATACCTTTTATCAACCAATCAGGAGTTGAGACTAGTGCGTTAGATGTCGCGTTTTCTTCCGCCCGTCAGCTGGTGTGAATTTTGATGGTTTCACGAGCGTGAAAATAAATAAGAGAAAATTTTAAAGAATTTTTTCGGCGTAAAAAGTCGAACCACACTCAACTCTTTACTGCATACGCAAGCTACATTGTATGCAGACATTTTGCTGTTACTGATTTTCCTTTGCACGTAACTCTGCGCGTTATCTGCGCCCATTGACGAACGCAGATAACGAGTCGATAACTAGACAGTAGATATCTGGACACCTTTGTAAAACCACACTGTCTGTGCCACACTAGGAAAGAAAACGGACATATTAAGAAACTCTCAGGCCCCGTTCACACTATGCTGAAGGAATTTGGAGACGGAGGTTTTACTCCGAAAACGCATCAAATGTTTTCCGTCCACACTACGCCGGAGAAGTTTGAAACCGCAACAATCAGCGGTCATTTTGGATTGTGTTTGAGGAAACCTCGGTCAGGGAAATCACATGATTATCGTGACGTCATCGTTCTCGAAAAGTTCCGTTTTCAAAATGTTTTCCGTCCACACGAAAACGAAAAGCCAGCGTTTTAAAATTTCTCTGGTTTAAAGAGCGTTTTCGAAAATCTCCGTTTTCGTGAAGGAATAGTGTGGACGGTAGGCCTAACCGGAGAAATAACATACATACATTTTATTTGTTATCAAATTAAAATTACAATTATAACATGCCCGCGGATAGCTGAGCTAATCCAGGCGGGTCAAGTTTGGACGAGTTCTTCCGAGAATTCTTCCGGCGTAGTGTGGACGGGGCTCAGTTTTAAGACATTTTCACGCTACGAAAAGGTAGAAAATTTGTTATTTAATTGTTCTGTAGATCCCAGGTCGTTTGTATCCCATTGAAGTTCGATACCAGCCTCCGAAAGTGGAGGTAAGTCGTATGAACTGTATTGTGGGATACACCATAACCCTAGCAATTATTAACGACGTAACAGGAGGAGAGAAGGTTGGAGGAGAATTACTTCAATTTTTCTTCCCATTCTCCGCCCACTCTCCAGTGGCGTATCTAGGGGAGGGGCCCGGGCAGCCCGCCCCTCCCCCTTATTTTGGGTAAAAAAAAAAAACATAGAAGGAAGAAAGGCCTGCAGGACAAGCAAAGAAACCCGGCCCACCCCGCCACCGCTCTTACCCCGCTTCCGAAAAGCGTAATATTTTCTGTCAGGATAGTTTCTACCATGAGACTACTGATTTGGAGAGAGTTTTCAGTATTTTTGAAGAAAAGGCAACGTTCATCGAGCGGCTTATTGTATACGAGCCTTATGACCCCAAGTGGCTAGCTTGCTTTCTTATAACTTCCTTTTCTCCGCTTACCTCTCAATGTTCCCGAATGTTAAGCTCATTGTCGCTCATGTATTTGCTGTTTTTTGTTGAAAGTATTTTTGCAATTGGTCTCTGTTGATTTGAAGATAAGAACGATTTGAAAGAAACGTGATGTGGCTCCCATTTGCAGAATTTTGGCAGGATCTTTTGCAGAAATCCTCTTTTCACTAGTTCAGTTGAACCTATCAACAGTATATTCCTTACATTTATGTCCCTGTTTTTTTTCCCACAGTTCTCGAGCAGTTCAAGACGATGGGAGAAACTTGACCCTACTCCTTACGTCAGAATCATGCAGCTTATAGATCACAAGGTTTGTCGACGTCCGCCAGTCCGTGCTTTCTCTCGTTCACTCGATAGCTTGCCGTTCACCCAACTCTGTTTTCCTAGATATGTTGGAACTACATGTAATGTTCAGTTGCCTAAATTGCAAGGCAACGGCTTTATCCATCTTTCTTTAATTTTAAGAACCAAAATTTGGTAGTAGTTTTGCTAGTAAAACGCATGCTTGAAATTAAAAAAAAAAAGAAGAATAATGTGGCAATGAAAAACTTCCTTCGAGCCGGATTCGAACCAGCGACCTAAGGATGACTTCACACACTCTACAGTCCTCCGCTCTACCAACTGAGCTATCGAAGGATCTACTTCCGCGACATTGATTTCGAAATAAAAATACTAAAAGGCTGTGTGTTTCCTGTCGAAAGGGGCACGTTTGCTCTTGACAAGTAACAAACGGATGAGATATAACACATTTTGTCGTGTTAACTCGAATGCGGAGACAAAATGACCGCTTTGTTTTGACAGTTTAGTTAACAATGATATTGATTTTAAATTTTTAGTACTCGTCATCAGAGCGTGGAGATGTTTTGATGTTTCTCAGTGGCATGTCGGAAATCTCAGCGGTTGTTAATGCTGCTAAGGAGTATGCGCAACAGTCTCGCCGATGGATCATACTTCCGCTTCACAGTTCCTTGTCAGTGGAAGAACAAGATAAGGTTGACCTTTTCATGTGTTTAATTCTGCCACGGTCTAGTTAACTAGTTGCATGTATTAGTATTCCACTAGGTTTCTAACAGAACACTCATTCGGCAAGTCTTGTTCGAAGCCGTTACAATGAACCCCGTTAAGCCGATCACCAACGGGCTACCAAATCGGGTCTGCCTTGGGTTGTTAGAAAGGTGGATAACGCTATCCACCGGATAAATCCATATCCAGCGGATAGCGCGGGCTTTTTTGTAAGCACTTATCTACTGAATAGTGATTTATCCGGTGGATAGCGTTATCCAGCCTTCGAACTAGTGGGGCCTGGTCTTTACACAATCCTCTTCCATTCTAGAATTGCGTGACGATAGCGGACACTCGCGTAAGCGGACAGCTCTTCTTACAGACACTTTTTTTTTTCAATTCCCCGCTTTAGCTCCCAGACAAACTCTGTATTTACATGTTCCCGTAAGCAGACACTCTCTCGTGAGAGGACGCAGACACTTATGAAAATGAAAATTGGATATTTCATTTGGTTACGCTCACTCGTAAGTTTTAACAGTTGACATCAATAAAGAGTTTCGGTTGCTATTTTTGGCCACGGAATAAAACAGGTAATTAACACCCGCTAATTAACTCTCCCGTAAGTGGACATCCGCCCTATTCTTCTTTGGTGTCCGCTTATAAGAATAATTCTCGTAAGCAGACAGCTCTACAGACGGACACCTTTCCCAAGAGACTATTTTCGACATATTAAAATTCAGCTTGGCAGTGTGGCCTAGGGAACACAAACAAAGGAAATTGAATGACATGCTTATTCATTTCTTTTGTTTTTGTCCTCTGGGTCTCACTATCAAGCAGAAAGTGGCCTATTCACAAAGGTGTCCGCTTACAAGAGAGTTGACTGAATTTGTACCATGGTGGGAAGCCATTAATTCGACCATCAGTGGAACACCAAAATTAGTTGGGTGTCCTCTTTTCTACGGTATAAAAGAACATGGGCGTAATAGCGAGTTAGTTGTGTGGCGCGGTTCTACTGTATTCCGTCAAAATCTTTATTATCGTGTTGTTCAGGACCGCAAGACTCTCCACGACTGAGATTCATTAAGGTGCACCGTGCGTAAACTGTTAAACAGACCTTGAAGTTTCTCATTGCGTGGATTTTTTTTCTCGCTAGGTTTTTGACGTGGCTCCTGAGGGCGTTCGAAAATGTGTTGTGTCCACAAATATCGCCGAGACTTCCATCACAATAGACGGCATCAGATTCATTGTGGACTCAGGAAAGGTACGTATCGCTATGAATTGTTTAAAATTCCTCGATGTTACTTTCATCGTTGTTTTGAGATATTTTGATTTTCTCTGTTATTAGACTGTAGCTAGGCTCAAGAAAAACTCACACCCGACCAGAACCGATCAAACTGAGAGTCTTTCTAGACAAAGAACGATATCATAATCCAAGCCATAAGATGGAGAAGATTGACACGGACTGCAAACGACGCACTTGAAAAGTTTAGACTGAACTTTTCAAGATGCGCAAACCGTGACTTAGCCCCTTTAAAAACATCTCATCTGTTGACAAACGTTAGCCAAATCAACTTAACAAGGTTTGGGTTGGAATCTTTGCCCCGATAAAACATGGTCTATTACCAATAAGAGCCCTTCAATATCCTCAGGTAAAAGAGATGAGCTTTGATCCTGAGGCTAAAATGCAGCGACTACGTGAGTTCTGGATTAGTCAAGCCAGTGCTGAACAGCGCAAGGGAAGAGCCGGTGAGTTGCTTTTCATCCGTCAGTTGTTTTACGTTGTTGTTTAGAACAGTACCTGGTTCGTGGAACGTGTTGTAGCTAATCAGAACGAACGCGCTTGTTTGGCAACCAATCAGAAGGAAAATCAAATCTGTGACTTGGCTTACGCGCGACCTATTCTCCGCGCTTGGCGTCCGTTGCATGTTATCGTTCTGATTGGTTTATTACTTTTGTTGTATTCGCTTTGATTGGACAGATGTGATATGACTTTGAATTTCATTTTACTACACTAATCAGACAACCACAATAGGAGACCAGGTAATTTTTGTAGACCAAGCCGGCCTGTGAAGCAAGCTATAACTAATCGACCTGTTTTGAGATGTTACTCAGTCTCAATGTCCATGTTTACCAGTTGTTCAACAATGTTTCTCCTCGGCGATTTCCCTGTCATTACATTCATGTGTAAGGCGAGGATGTCTAAAGCCTTTTGTACTGCGGATCCAGAGTTTAAACATCAGAACTCTGCTCGGAGTTACAGTGTTGTTTTTTGAGGCAATGCAGTGTACGCTGACAGTGCTTTCTCCAGTGGCGAATCTTGGTGCGACCTGACAAAATACAGACTAACCTGCTATGGAGTAGCCTCCAATGTTGCGGAAACCTAACAGTTGTTAGTCGCTTTATGCAAGACAACTAGGTACTAAAAGAAAGCTTAAAAGCTATACTCTCTGTGCTAGTTTGCCACCAAACCTTTTATGGTGTTTACATAACTCCGGGTCACACCACTTGTAAAGACAATCACGGCAAATCATTCAACGTTCTCGTCGTTGTCATATTGTATTTTCCTTTCGCCAATAGTTTTGTTTGTATGTCTAGGTCGCACGGGCCCTGGTGTGTGTTTTCGTTTGTATTCTGAGAGTGACTACCAAGCCTTCTCGCAATACACCACTCCTGAGATTCAGCTTGTTCCTCTGGACTCCATCATTCTACAGATGGTTGCCCTTGGCATTCATCGCATCCGCGAGTTTCCCTTCATAGAGCCTCCCCCAGCCTCCAACGTTGAAAATTCAATTCACACTCTTAAACAACAAGGCGCGCTAACTGATGATGAAACCTTGACTCCGATTGGTCAGATGCTGGGTCAACTGCCTGTTGATGTCGTCATAGGAAAGATGCTTCTGATTGGCTCAGTGTTTCACGTCATCGAGCCCGTGATGATCATAGCTGCTGCTCTTAGCGTCCAGTCCCCTTTTACGCAGAAGATGGGGTATGACTCGGTTGTGGCGTCACTAAGACAGCCACTAGAATCTGACCATGGAGATCTGTTTACGCTACTGAATGCCTATGATGAATGGCTACAGGTTAGTTTTAAACGAGTGATCTTCGGGTAAATTTTAATAGAGTCGCTTGCTATTTTGTGCCGCTTGCTGGCTCGAACTTCGTCCGTTTGATAATCAATCAATCAATCAATCAATCAATCAATCAATCAATCAATCAATCAATCAATCAGTTGGCTAGTCAGTCAGTCAGTCAATTAGTAGCAAAGGTCCATCTGTCTGTCTGTCCGACCGTCCCTCCCTCAGTCAGGCAAGCAGGCAGGCCTTCCGTCCGTCCTTCCGTCCGTTGTTCAGTCAGTAAGTCAAACAGCAGTAAATTGCAATTAGTACCAAAGGTCGGAAAACTGAATTAATTTTGATACTGGCGCCGGTATTTTCATTTCTTGGAATTGTCAAAAATTAAATTATGGCCTATGAAAGAGAAAACCATCTAGTTCATTTGACTTTCCAGGTTAAGAGTCATGGAGGTTCTTCTCGGAAATGGTGCAAGCGCAGAAGTCTGGAAGAGCAACGCTTCTACGAAATGTCGAAGCTTAAGCGTCAGTTCGAGGCGTTATTACGGGATCATCTCCTGATGGATCCCGAGGAACGGGATGAAGACGAGGATGAACGAGATCGTGAAAAAGACAAAAGACGAGAATTGAAGAAACTGAAACGAGACCATCGAAAAACAACGAGGAAAGCCAAAATACTGAAGCTAGATGAAGACGAGCAGAGCGGAGGCGAGGAGGAACAGGAGGAGACTAAGACCGACATCCGGGATCTGGAATTTAAACTTACTCATGACTTAGACAAACTTGAAGCTGGGAGTACAGCCAGGCGAAGTTTCACATTGCGAGATATCAATCTACTTAAGATTATTCTCTGCAGTGGGCTATACCCTAACCTTGCCTTGCCGGATGAGAACAATACGAATAAAAGGGACTCAGAACAGTTGTTTCACAGTCAGTCGAAGCAGTTTCTTCAAGTTCTTCCTACCAGTGTGTTTGCCAATCGGCCTCAGCTGCTGCAACTCACGGAAACTCCAGTTAACTATCAGTTGCTGGCGTATGTTTCCCTTCTGGAGACCACCAAACCATATTTGGTAAACGCCATGCGGGTTCCAGCCCTGCAGACACTTCTTCTGTTTGCACAGAGTCTGGACACTAATGCGGAATTAACCCGCTGTGTTGTGGACTGTTGGCTTGAAATCACTCTTCCGGACAACGCGACGGGACAGAAGGTAGTGACTGCTGTCCAGCAGTTACGCGCCACGTGGGCGCGTCTGTTGAAACTCCGATTTGAAGAGATTAAAGACAAGCGAGAGCGGAATTCAGAAACGCGACGGAACAAAGAACTTGATTTGGAGAATCACCTGGCGAACAAACTGTCCGAATTTCTAGACAGTGATGTGTCCTACTCGCTCCGTCGCCTTCTGCCATCTGAAAACCGGTATTTGTACCGTGGTCCCCTGGGTGAAACTCAGAGCGATGGCGAGTTTGGCAACGCGTTCCCTTTCACAGGAGGCTCGGAGCCACATCCAACCAAAGGTGGCGTCCGTGTGAACGAATACCTCACCTACAATTGCCTTCAAGACACTCTTATGGCAGAAGCTGCCTCAGCGGCTGCTCAATTTATTTCTAAGCACTGGCGTTGCGAGAAATGCGGGAAGAAAATGTTGGTGACTGTTTTAGAAAGATTGCAGCATCAAGAGGAATGCCAGCATGAACAGCCCGTGGACTCAAACCACTCAGCTGTCGCTGGCGTTGCGCAGTCGACAGAGAAATCAGCTAACGTTGATTCTTCGATCGAACGATTAAGAAAGCCATATTTCTGCAACACGTGTCAATCACAATTCTCGTTTACGAGTACTGAAATTTTGAAACATAAAAAGTCGCATGTTTCTGGCTCGTCGACATAGTGCATGTATTTCTCAATTTTGCAAGAGACGATTTATTGTAAAAGAATTCGTTTAGCCTACATCTTCTGCTCAATGAAATTCCATTCGTGTTTACAAACTGATGGCGCTCCTGTCTGTCAAGTTCTCCGTCTTCAAACAACACTTATCAGTGGAACCTACATGTTTGCCTGTTGAAGCTATGCTAATGAACTTGAACCTTCCACGCAATCATTTAAAACACTCATAAAATAAGAAAGACCTTTTTTTAGGGTTTCTTACCTAAAGTGCTCGTTAGGTGGTACATGAAGGCAATTTGTAATTTGTATGAATGTCGCACTATCAAATAGTAGCTACCATCAACAGCCAATCGGATCATCGTTTCTTAAACTGCATCAAGGTGGTTTGCCGTTCAATATATACTTCGATTGACGCACTGTGTCATTACACACTGCTATTTACAGTATTTTGTAGGGAAATTCGAAAAGGTCGGGCTCATCAAAAGACATGGATTTATTCAGAGCGGTTTTAACTGTTGTGTTGAAAGCTGTAGGTACGTTACCAAGAGCTGACGTGAACTAAAGTGAAAAAATAGAATTAAATTGACAAAATTTACATACGTTTATCGATATATTTTGATTGTGTTACGTATTTACATGCTCCAAGAAGCATTTTTTAAAGATAAAAATGTTGCACTCTCGAAGAAATACAAGTGT